AACCGCATTAGATATATGCGTTAATTACACCTGTTCTGTGTACGCAGTTTAAGGATAATTACCACAACCAACGACGACGATCTCTGAAAGGGCCCTTTCTTCAACGCCTGCAGCCGAACAAGAACCTTCGAGAGCCATATTTCTTCGGTAAGTCTCTTAGTGCTGAACGAACTTTGTACTTTTGCCTACTTATCATTTCTAATCACTTATTGAAAATATCGGTTACTATATGTCCATTTTTCTCTTATACAATCGAACTTATCGATCTGCAACCTCATCTAAAAACAGAGGAATATCGACATCCAGAGATGGGTAAAAAGGTTTGAACCAAAATCCCAACGCAGTCCTATGAAGGTTCAGACCCCTCCATAGCTCATTCACTGGTATTCGATCCTAGTCACTCCTTATATCTGATGTTGTTGGTGTCATTAGAATCTTCACCACTCTAACTGAAATGTAATGGGAGCAGGAGCATAAATGAGTATATAAACTATGGAGTTCCTAGACCGAAATTACACGTAGTACTATCACGACTAGAACATTCGGTATATCAGTTATTTGAAACCATGAGGGTTTCATAAACATAAAGATAATCAAATCATCCGTCGACATTGGAATATGAAAACTGACCAAGGAACTCTCATAAGAAACGTGAAAATCTAATTAACCGCTGCATATAAATATTGGATGTGAGGGTTCCGAAGTTAGTCTGGTCTGGAGCTCTTTCTGACTTGACAAGAACTCGTCAATATGGTCATTATAATGTAAGTTGTTATTGGGTTCTTTTATTTATTTTTGTTCAATAATATTTCATCACTACTCATAATGTTTCATGCTTTAATAAAATATTGTTATGTTTGAATATAGTCTCGTACTTTGAGATACCCCTGAACTATTAGTGCCTATTTGAATATAACCTCTCGCAAACCCTCAAGCCAAGCATACTCCTTATAAATCGATATGAGTGAAATATCATCCCCATGTCGTGGCATAGTGAAAGTCCTACCGCTGTTGTGACATGGTAGAAACACCCTAATGTCGTTACAGTATCATGGATGCTGAGTTCGATGAAGACCCATTCTCAGCCCATTTGATGACGCCGTGATTTGATATCACTAAACTCATCAGAATTAATACTCCAATAGCTCGAACGTAATTGAATTATAATCAACACAGTGTTTTTACCCAGAAACGAAGGCATGTAAAGATTAGTAGATGAGCGATGAGGTTTCTAGATCAAAATCTTGCGCACAGTCCCATGAAGGTTCAGAATGATCCAGACCCATTCCTAGTTCATTTCCTAGTATCCTAAGCTCGAATCATCGGTGTCATTAGAATGTCTGACGCAATACCTCGAGTTCAAGATCAAAAGAAATCCTGTGAAATCACATGATGATTTCACCGATGAACGAAGATAGTTAATATACAAAAAAATATGAGCTAGGATCAAAATCGCATGCATCGTCTTTTGAAGATTCATGAAGATCCAGAGATGGTGTAGATTTCAAAAGTATTTTCATCATGAATGTTCCAAGTATCATTTCCCAATCCACTTCAACCTTCAGACTTCAGACTCCGGAAAAATGTTTGTTAATGCACAATATTTCATCCGTCTGACTATTAATCTGAATTAATTTTCATTTATAACCAGCGCATTTGCAACATTTTAAATTAATGCAGCATTAAGCTCAATTTGCAGTTTCTATTATAAGAGGTTTGGCGATTAAGTGCCAGTCTCAATTAGGCTGGTATTAGATATTTTCAGAAGGAATTGAAAATTTATTTCCATCTGGAAGCGAAACATTCTTTGAATAAGAATTTTTATTCCTTCAAGAGTGGAATAAGAAGAAAGTTGAAATTGCATCTGAATTTTTGTGACAAGTTGATAATAAAATCAGTTATGTTTGGATTTGGCAAAGTGAAGTGAAACGGTTGAAGAAGAGTTCACCTCATGCTCAAAGTGGAAGGAAATGCCGTCTATACGAATCGATGCATATATTTCGGGAGGATGTAAGATGTGATTCAATGTTTTGCATCATATCAGCAAGGAAATTCTTTGTTTTTCTCCCCTTACCTTCCATTGTTGATCATTTTTCGAACATTTGTTGAAATTACTGTTTTTGCTGTTTATCTAGATTTCATTCCACTCTGGCCATTTTGGCTATTTCGTAGTCTAATAATAAGATTGAATCGCCAGATAGGTTTCAGTGATTTTTTTGCAATATTCATCCGAAAACTACCTCAATCATTTAGTAGCCATAATGTCAACTTGTCACTGACATTAGTGACATTTGAAGAAAAAAGGAGATTATTAGTTATTTATGTATTAAGGGAATTATGAGGGCCTTAATTACCGATGGCAAAGTTTGCGTCCCGAGGGCCTCTGGCCCGAGGGACAGCAATTGCCAGAGGTTATTAAGGCTCTATAATTCCCGTGATACATAGATAATTTTATTTCTAACTGATTTCATTCATTAGATACCTTCCCGATTGGAAGTTAGACATGTTTTTCCGTATAGTTTCAATGTCATCAGAACGTCAGATGATGATCTTGACTACCGCGAATAGGAGATTCCTTATTGCTATGTTATTGCGTGTTGTTGCTATGCATTTCTTATTTAATTTTAGCTAGAGGGAATTATAGCATCTATAACATCCCAAGGGAGTTATGACCCTCATTATAGATATCGTAACTATGACGATATAAGCTTATAATGTCACTGTCAGAAATAAAATTAGTTTCGAAACGTTAAAAAAAGCTAGCCCGTTAATGTTAAGTCTTCGATGAAATCCATGTTTTCGGGGTTTGAAAGGTATTTGAATATCAAGGGATCAGATGTATTCATTTCCTCACGATGATTTTATCCACGAGCGCATATATTTGACAGCGTCGTTCTTGAAATTGTGCTTCAAGCGGTCTATCTCCCGAGTACCGATACAAATTTAATTGTTACATGATCTAAAGTTACAGACAGTGATGAAATCTGGAAATTCAGCAGTTCTGTCACATTGAATCTGTTTATTGGGTAATTGCATTTTATTCAAAGTTTCGATTGAGTACGTTTGGAAGTGTACACGATCATTGAAGTACAAAAATTAAATTGTTACTTGTTTTATAGTATTGATTGAGACACTGATTAGGTACTTGGGTAGAAGAGATCTTATACGTTTATCTCTACCAAGGAAGCAAGCTGAGGCCAATTTATTTTACCTCCTACTGAAGGTAATATTTTTTGCTCCCGTGGAAGTAAATTAACAGGTTTGTATCCTCAATGGGCTTATATCACAAAAAATTTTTATCTCATAATTCGGTAGAACTCACCCAAACTAGCTCACCACCGCAAACCTTTTCTTGCTGTGAGCTCCCTACGTTTTATAAAAAATTATTGAAATCCCCGATTTTTCGGACCTCTGAAAACGAGGCGATGATGTGACGTCAAAACCCTAATACTGAAACAAGACTATTCCAGACAGAGATGAATGATACATGATTTGTCCAGTCACAAAGCACCAAGATTGTTAAATCGGCAAGTTGATTTTTAGGACATAGATGATAAGAACAAGAAGAAGATCAATTCTAACCTATATTAAGTTTCTGCAACTTTCGAATATTAAATTGAAATATTTCGACAAAAGTATGATTGAGAAATGTTCTGTGCCTAATTGCAATTAAAAAAACATCATTTAGCTGGGAATTTTGAGAACAAATCTCGCCCCTCACTGGGTAAACACAATATTATAGTAGTAGTTTTGCTTTGCAGAAATTCATAGGGAAATTGCTTGAAGAATGAATGATCCATCTCCTAGAAGAACATTCAGGGAGATGCAAGCAGTATCTAGTCTTGGGAATAACATTGTTTCATACCAATTGATCATATTGTTGCATAGGTGAACATATCGATCAGTGACTGATTTAATGAGGATTCTCCCTCGGAATCTCCATATGATGGGTATTCTGATGTTAAATATTCTTTCAGGTGAACAATTTTCCAATGCAACTATAATAGGTACAAGCAATGAAAATTGAATGAATATTGTGGAACTTACCTTTCAGGCAACTGTGGAGATTTCCAAATCAATTTTCGGTAGATTATTTGATGAGCCTTTTACAAATCCTGATTCAACGTTCATGTTTATATTCAATATATCAATAATATGTACTAATATGATATAAAGCAAGATTTGGAGGTTAATTTCATTACGTGTCTTCTCTTCTCATTTTAGACGACATAAATAACTTCGGAATCGGAACTCGAGACTCGATGCAAATGCAGCTCCATGTGAAACAAGTCAACAAAGCAATGTTGCTGCGTTCATGAAATATATTGGATTATTGGGAAATTGTCATGGTGCAAATGGTTTTGAGATTGAGACATTTCGTTGTTTAGAGATTGTTTATATTCTAATGATTCAACCTACCATCGACAAGTTGAATATATTTTTCTGCAGTAGTGGTAGTTGATATCAAAAGATATTTCAATATCGATTTCGATCTCTCGCATATTTTGTTTAGATGATATGGCAACAGTGATAAGTGTCACACATGGGTCACTCTATGAGTCACGCTCATTGGTTCCAGGCGAGATGAGGTTTCTACGTCATAAAGAGGGTCGGTTTTCAGCAGGTACTATTATTTATGTCCAAAAATAAAACATTCCAGTTAATTATTAGATGGAATTATGTCGTCAATCGTTATTTATGTATAAAAGGATCATCATAAACATGGTTTGAGTTGAAAGTTCTACTAAGGTGTACACGCCCATTGAAGGAGCAAACAGTTTATTTCGATGCAGTAAGTAGATAAATTTAGTTTCCGTAAGTTATGATCCCAGCAGTGGAACGACGCGGTGTATGTTTGGTTGCCTACACCATAGTTGATCGTAAATAGACAAATTGATCGTTGATAGCGATTATATAATCAAACTTGTCGTACGGAAACAAAAATTACCTGGTGGGGGGATAGATGCAGCTGATGGAAATCCGGCCCCCCGTTGAGGCACCTGAACCTGAAGGGGCTGTGCACGGGGCACGACACGTGCGGGAATGACGGCCCGTGGTGGGAGGGGGTTCCCCCCACCGGGGTCACTGGGTCCGACGACCGGCCTGGTCTGCCGTCGCTGCCCCACGGGTGCGGGGGCCCCCCCGCCGGCCCCCCGCGGCGGGGCTGGCGCGGTTGGGGGGGCCATCCGGCGGCCCCATACGGATCCAGTACGCGCGCACCTCGGGAGCGGAGGATCGCGTCAAGACGAGTTTTCGTGCATACGATTTATCTTTATTTCGTTGGAAATCTGTCAAAAAGTTGTAGACGGGTAGCTAGTGGATATTTTCTGTAGCACCAGCCAGAGTTTCTTGAGGGGGAGTCAATATTCTACATTTCGCGAAGAAAAAAATATCACAAGGTGCGGGAAAATTGTATTTTATAACAAATGAATAGATATCTATGGGGAGAAAATAAAGAAACAAAGTAAGTCGCACTTAAAAAAAAATGCATATTTTCAAAAACACCATGTAACTTCGGAACGATGATAGATATCGATATGCGGTTTGTCATGCGAATTGACCCTCAGTTTTCTTCTATCTCAAAACGGAACAAACACAAAGTCGATCGACCACAAAATTTCAAAAATGTATTGATAATCCTGATAGCAATTGTTCAAATGACCAGACTAACTTTGATTGGAATAATATCTTCCGCACTTTACAGTTTTCATAATTTTTCCATTATGTAAATCGGACCATACGTCTTCTTTTCAACTTGACAGAATTTGTTCTCTTCTTCTTCTCAATTTCAAACACTTATTCCTTCTTATTCCTTAAATCATATGTTTTCATTAAGACCGTTTCGTTTATCTCTCGATCATCAATGATATGTTTTTTTTTTCATTGTATAACTTCAATTTAACTGGTTTCAATTTCAATACTGTTTGCTTTGATTCTACTCATTTTTCATATTTGGTTTTCATTCTGACTTCAAAATTTTCAGCAAATGTCAAATCAACATTTATAATTATGCCTCTCTATGTCTTTCCTGTTGATGGCTTGCGTCGAATGGAGATGAAGCTCTTTGAGTAGATTTTTATTAATTCTCGTTTCGTTCACTTTCCGATGTTGAACTTACTCCTAGTTAAGATCTCTTGGATTTTCAGTCGTTCCAAAGTCTCAAACCGGACTGAGTTTTTTATGTACGACTTGTTCTCGAAATTTTAATTATTCAGTCATTCCTTGAAAAAAGGATATACTTTCTCGGCTGACATATTGTCTTAGATTTAAGATCTTTGTAATTTCCAGGTACTCCTTCCTTACTATTGTGCCTGAAGATGACCATGGTGCCAAAGCTAGTCACACACATGAGTGTTTTATTTGAATTTTGTGATTGACCGACTTTGAGTTTGTTTCTTTATACTGGACCACTTTGAGAATGAATGGTTTCCATGACTTTCTTTCTATCTAGTTCGCGGATATATTATATATACAGGGTTTGGCAATGAAACATGAAGATTTGGCATGGTGAGGTTGAAAGTCATCGGCTTGTCAGGACCCGCATTTCTACCATTTATTCACAATGAATCATTAGACGGGTGAGAAACGCAGATACGCTGGTTCAACTGATATTCCTGTTTAGAGAAACTATACGCCCTAGGATCGGCGGGGACTTCTTCATATCGCCATATTTTCAGGGGTTAGAACTGTATTGGCACTGGATTTTGATAGTAGCCTTCAGCTGCGTAGCTGCGTTGCTCACTCGTCCCATGTGTAAATAAATAGTAGCAGTGTTCCCAGAACTTTTTTTGCAATTGCCTTATCACTTGCACATGGCCACACAAATATATAGTTCTCTCTCTTTCTGATGGTTCTTGCTTTCTGTGTCTGTGGATATGAAAAGTGAAAATTATGACAACAATGACGACATGTATGTAGCAAGCAAGTGTGATATTGACAATGATGAGTGAAGAGACTCAAAAAGTGAGAAGAATGACAAAAAAATAGATGATGTGATCACATGTGATGCCAATGCTTGACATTCTTCACGAAGCACGCCAGATGTTCCTGATTTCATTTTATACCACATTTTGGCCCATTTTGGAAATGTAGTACCTACCACTGTACTTTTTTCACGATAAAGTACCACATGTGATACAATGAACCACTTCTGGCAACGCTGAATGGTTTTTACACCTCAAATCGTCCAGTACCATTAACGAACCCTGTATATATTGATGTATTTCACAAATTAACATACATATCCTTCGAAGAAGTCACATTACGTATCGGATTTTATAATTTTCTTGTTTTGGGTCTAGGTACAGGAAAATATAGTGTCCCAAAAGCCACTCCTAGGTCCACCAGTCGATATTCGAGGAGAATAAGGGAAGTAAAGTTGACTAGAATACAATTTCAATATACGAATTTTGCGAAAGATGAATTTATTGTGAAATGTTCAGATTCCATTCGGATGAAAGAAAAATCGTATGCATGAAAACTAATCTTCACATCTTCTCGATTCTTAATTGATCACGTGATACATTTGCGATTCAATTCTACCAGCCCTCTATAGGATACGAGCGTTTTTACTCACTATCGGAATATAAATTTACAGTCTAGGACACTGAATCTCGCTCTACACAGTATTCTTGCACCTAAATCACTTGAAACTCAGATCTGATATAAGATTTATTGAGGAAGGTGCAAAAAATTTAATGCACTGGAATAAAAACTCAGAATGCTTATGAGATATCTAGATGTAGTCATCGCACTTTTCAACTGTTTCCACAACAAATAACAAGTACTGACCTTTCAGCAATCCCTGCGATAGTATTTCATGAAATTTATATTAATGAAATTTTGAGTGAAATTTCACTCAATATTTCCAAAGATCTTACGAAGTATATGATTCGAATGAAATCGGGGAAGACGGACCATGGGCTCACAACTTGTGAGTACAGGAATGGTGAACCCGAGGTGCCCTAGCCGGATATTCACCATACTTCAACTTGTCTTGGGTGATATCCTCTTGTCTCTTCCTTTTTCGATCTATTTATCGGCCTTTCTTGGCCAACTTCTCTTTTCCTTCTCCTCTTCAAGCCCAACCTCACCATCAAGTGGTATGGGAAGGACAGACCGCGGCCGCTCGACGGATGAAGCATTTCGGGAACATCTTTGCTATCTCCGGGCCAGATGGGACAATTTGTGGACATCTGTGGCAGGGATAGGGCGATTTGCTGATATCTGTCTAGGTGGCCAAGGACTGGTCAACGAGGCTCTGGTCCAATGCAACTGATCCAAGTTGTGGGAACCCGTGGTGATGGATCAATGGCACCGAGGTATGGTATCGCTAATGGGGCCTCTGGGAAACAGGGCGACATCTCAGAGTAAGTAGCCTTAGCTCTGTGCAAAGGGCACCACAGGGGGACCAACCCCTTTCCCCGTCACTCGTAGGAGAAGAAAAACGTTTGGCCTTCTTCGTAGATGAGAACAGAGATCAGAAGAGTAATCTTCAGGAACCTGCACGAAATGCGCCTTTTATATTGAAGTGACCCTATGATAAGCACCATGAGTCGTATATGGTAAAATTGATAACGGCATGTAGGTAAGATACAATGGGCCACTAGGCCTAAGTGTCGTCGGAGACTTTGGTCAGACGAGCCTACAAACGGGGTGGAGTGTTAAGTGGGTATACCCTGGAGTCAGCGGACTCCCACACTATCATATGGGGGATTGGACCCATATGGTGCCCATAAAGGATTTCAACCACCTCGATGAAAAAAATCAACTTTGAAGATGATTTCACCCTCTACAAGCTCAACAGCTAGCAGCATTATGAATACTTGCGCGATCCACACTTCTATTCTAGCTAAAAACCACCATAACCTCAATGTATCACGTGATCTATTAAGAAAACACAGAAGATAGAATTCGATCGGTCCTAAAGACATCCAATTCTTAACAGGATGACGTAGGCTTAACACAGGTCCCAAACAACCATGACTCCTGGTATGGAGACAATTTTAAAACAATCAGAGCAATTCTAGCAGAATTATTATTTGAAATAACAGCGTGATAAAAAGTGATTTATTTTGCTTATTTCTACTTCGGAAAATACGTCGTAAATTGATAATTATAAACTTATTAGTTATTATGATATACATAATGAAATAAAGATTATGAATTATTATTTGAAGATGAACGTGGCGGTACCGCAAAGTTTCGTAGCAGGCGAGTAAATATCGTTGCCATCTGTCGTTTTTGTTGATATTAATGATTTTCCGGCTGTTGAGTGACTCATTCAGGATAATAATATATAGCAGACTATTTTGTGAATAAACATGGTTCAGCTGTGTCAAATATGTGAAGAAAAGGTAGTTACCAATTTTCTAACTCAATATTTAACAGGTATATACGTAGAAATTTGGTCCGGTGGCAGCCCTGCTTGATGGCTTGCTTCTTTCGTTGATGAAAAGCGTGTTTGAAATATTGAAAACATCATATAACCTCAATAAGACGTTACAAAATGAAACATTTATACAGAAATTCCAATTTATTGGATATGTAAAATATATCCATGAAGAATACCAATCCTCTTGCAATGATTTTAATTGCTCACTTTTGCCACAGGGCGTTGAGAAGTTGAGGGTAAAAAAGTTACTATGTTTTTCCCTGTATAATAATTAGGACAATAGATGTTTTTCGGAACAAAATATCAGGCAGATTTTGCTAAACATAATCTTACGCTTTTGTCGAAATTTCATCGAAATTTGAAGAGAATTACGAAAGTTACAGGGCGAACAATTCTACTAAAAATTTCACTGCCCGGAATTTATTGTCGGGGATTGTATTATTCTGATTGTGAATAAACATTATTATTATTATCGCGGTATCTATCTATTGTTATATTTATATTCTGAGGCTAGAATCGTTCTGATCGCTCTGAAAATGAGTTCATACCGAAAATCATGGTCGTTTGAATCCCTGCCGATTTGATACCTTGAAGACGATTCGCACCCGCGACCAGCGTCACGACGCTGCCGGACTGTCGGCGTCTCGACGGCACACGTTCGCAGCTGCCGCCTCCGGGACGGCGTTGCGGCGCACTGGCGGGCGGTCGAGAGAGGCGGCAGAGCGGGGCGGCGATAGGTGGCGCGCGACGACGCCGTCGGTTAGCCGGAGCACGTGAGGCGGGTATTCCGGTAGGCCCGCTATGGCGACAAGGGTGGCGAGGAAATCAATCGGGAATGGCCGAGGATTTTTCCCACAGACGAATTTTCAGATTCACGAAACATGACTTGCATAATACATATTTTGAAAAAAAGGCATAGAAAGTGGCTTTCTCATTACACTCAAAAGGCAGCAAAGATGTATTTTCTCTGCGTAGGAAAAAAAGACATTCCAAGTCATTCAATGGACGATCAAGTTCAGGTGGATGCTGTGTACACCGACTTCAGCAAGGCTTTCGATAAAATTAGTCACAACATCTTGGATACAAAGACTGGCTGAAGTTGGTGTGAGCACATTCCCATTTGCGATGGATTTGGTCTAACTTGGTTGGCAGGACAGAGGTGGTAACACTCAATGGATTCTATTCAGATTCCTTTGAAGCAACATCTGGGATCCCCCCAAGGCAGTCACTTATAGGTCCATTGTTCTTCATAATGTATATAAGCGAAATAATCAAGTCTTTCAAATTCTGTTCTATTCTACTATATGCAGATGACTTGAAACTTTATCACACTGTGGAGGATATAAGCGACTGCAAAAAATACAAGGAGATTTGAACCGTCTTTCATTATTCTGTGATGATAATAGCCTATTTTTGAACCTTGATGGATGCATCTCAATCACATGTACCAGGCACTAAAATATAATCAATTATACATACAAAATTAATAATCATGAGCTGAAATCAGTATCGGAAGTTAAAGATCTCGGGGTAATAATGGACTCCAAATTGACATTCAAATCGCACATAGAGAAAAAAATCAACGAATGCAATAAAATGATAGGATTCCTGAAAAGAAGTTGTCACAGTTTTAGGAATATAAAATGACTTTCAAGTATTTATTATGCTTATGTGGAATCCCCAATATATAATTCATATTGACAGAATTCAGAGGGTACAGAAAAAAATCCTCAGATTTATTGCTTACAAATCAAATATCGAAATGATAAATAGTGACTACACACCACTGATTCGTGAACACAGCGTGTTAGGTCTCAAAGATAGAAAAAATGTTACAGATCTATTAACAATTTTCGAACTAATGAAAGGACTAGTGCAGAGTCCAAACCTTGTTTCGAAAATTGAATTCAATGTTCAAAGTAGATTACTTAGACGCCTCGAAATTTTCAAAATTCCTTTCAAAATAACAAACGCTGCCTAGAATTCTCCATTATGTAGGATGCTCAGAATATTCAACAGCACCTGTAATGACCTGAATTATTTCAAATTCAAAATGAAAAGATATTTCATCGACCATCTCTAGACCATCTTCAGGTTGGTGTCATACGAGCGGTCGCATTCATTTTCATTGTATATGTATACCATTTCCTTCAATTGCACTGAAATTAGCATAAATATATCTATAATATGATCAGAAATAGCATAAAACATAATAGATCTACAAAATATGTTTGAGCTCATTTCATTCGTTTTATTCTATAATCTATTCCATCAACTCTTTTTCTGTCGGAACAAAGCGACATGATAACTTCTTGATCATCAGCATCAGTCATGACATTGATACTACTTCTTCTTTTATATTCTTTCTAGATTGAACTGAACACATTTCCCTATAGAAAGAACTTCCCCAAGGAAGATGCTTGAAAATTCGCCAGAACTTTCTGTTCCTTTGAGCTCAATACCCATGGTTTCACTGATGTAGCATTCCATAATGGAAAGTAAATAAGGATAAATTGATAAAAACCCACTTTAATAGGAAAGCCGGCTGCAGATTTTGACCGTCATCTGTTCCAGAGGCGTGTAAAAACATCGTATTGTATCGAACGACATCTGTGCCAATCACTTTCTTGAACAAAATGATTAATTAATTAATTAATTAATGCGGTAATTCGCACTCAATTTCGTGATTTGAAAAAGAGATAGGAATTATGCCACCCGATACCAATTGAATGGTCGATTTCAGAATCCTACCTGTAGAGAGTACGAAATAACTAGACTTCTTATATTTTTGCATTAATGTTTTCTAACTTTTCATTTGACGGTCAATAAATATATTATTATGACATCAACCTCAACTTTTTAAATATAACAGTATGAACAATCTTCCAGGTCACTATACAATAATTTAAAATCAATCCTAACATCCTCCCCATCAGATTGGAAAGGATTCAGCTCAAGTACTTCCATATCTCTCTGGAACCTTGACTTTTCGACCAAATCTTGTAACGGTATCTCTAGCCTCTTCTATATCATTCGACGTATTCTCTATATCGGTTCTCCTTTCTTCTTCGACTTGACTTCATTTTCTGAAACTTCTAATGGATAAAGTTTTTGAAATGGGCGAATGAATTCTCCTGTTTTCATTTTCACTCTGGCTACTCTTGGTACTCCATCTCTTCCTGGATAAACTTCTTTTATCAACCCCAACTGCCAATCCAATCGTTTTGAGTTATCAGTTGCAGCAATAACAACTTCGCCAACATTCAAATCACCAAAACGCTTTTGACCAGTTTGACCAGTTCGGCAAGGTTTTCTTTCTGGAATCGTTTCCTCAAATTGTCTCTTATATTTTGAAGATATTTGAATCTCTTCACTAAATGATTTCTTTCAATATTGTCTAAATCAGGAACTTCGTAAGAATTCGAAGGGTTAATGAATTTTGAATGAGTTAGAGGTATGAAGTCATCGTCTGATGAAATATAAGTCAACGGTCTTGCGTTAATAACAGCCTCGCAGTCACATAACACTGTAGAGTTCTTCATAATACAAGGATGACCTTCCTAGATTCCTACGAAGCAGTTCTTTGATCAGCCGCACTATTCGCTCCCACCATCCTCCTCACCAAGCTGCGGAAGGAAGATTGAAAATCCATTCAATCCTTTTTATTTGGAAAAATTCTTCAATCTCAGTCCAATTTAATTGTGATAACTGATCGTGTAATCCCACGAAAGTTCTCCCATTATCAGAATAAATAATCTCAATTCTCCCTCCTACCTTTGCCACCGCTCAATCTGAGTCAAATCCGTGGCCCAGCGATTTATTTGCTGCCATCATTCCGGGCATATTTCCGTCATGTGATAACAAGTTGGAACAAAAAGCAAACAAAAAGGGATAAAGTCCCCTTCTCGAAAATCCAGACGTAGCATAAGCGTCAGTATTTCCGAGAATATTTCGCCCCTGTCAAAAGATAAAATCCGATGGACCAGTGAAAGACTCATGTGGAGGTCGCACTACGAGTATTCAAATTACATGTTGAGTTTCGCACTGGTTCATCGGATATTATGTTTCGACAGGGGCGAAATATTCACTTATAATGTCCCTAACAGCGGAATTATTATGTAATGAAGTGTTTTTGAACCAGTTTCATTACTAGACTGGTTTTGATTAATATCTTAGTACCTGAGACTGATTTTAGTTGAATTTCACTTGTTCGAAAGTTCGAAACCTGAAAACCTGAGAGAGCTGAGTAATTCATTGATTCCTGACTTTCCAAAGCTTTTCCTGATAGTAAACTCCGATAATAGATATTTACGTTACTCGTCCGGTAAGTACACTTTCGAAACGAGTACTGTAAAAGTTTACCGGACGTGTGACGTATAACATTTTATTTCATACTGCTGAAAAACAAAAATGAACAGTGAAAAATAAAATATTAATCTATTTATCTGCATCCAGTAATTTCAGAATTTTGCATTCACTCCCAAGATAGCTGGAAGGTAGTTTCCTTAGAAACATAATATTTGTTTTAAATGATTCAACATGGAGAAAACTTTGTTGAAGTGCTACAACAAAAAAATGGGAATGTATCAGCAAGTAGCAACTCCCTAATAAATAATTTATCCAATGGAGCTCCTGGTATCCATATTCATGGGAACGAAAATTTAACGGTCAATATTAATATTAGCAATAAGTAATTTCTGTGTATTGTTTTGCTGTTGAATTTTTAATGAATGTATTCATGCTTTTGACGCATAACTGAGTTTTCAATATTTACAATCCGGTAAAATTTCATTACGGGATAGTAGCACGATATACAGGCTATCTTACACTGAATCAGAATGTCCAGCTTGCAATGTCTTTTCATAAAAAAATGTGTGGTTTCTGTCTTTTATCAAGTTATGAGATATTTAGAAGAAACCATGACAATAGTAACATTCGATTTGCATCTAATGATGCATAAATATTGCATGAAATACCGAAAATCCTTCAATTCATCACTAGAATTACACAGTAGCAATATACGAATTACCGCAATAAAATAGGACCGGACTCATAATATATTTCTTGCAATGCAACGAAATATTGCGACAGCTGTACAACATGACACTAGTATACAAGGTGTTTCTGAAATAGGTGCACCTATTCAGCACATTAATATGATACAGTCTAAGCAATATTCCCATGATAACAGATTCTTTATAATTCTTTTAATTAACGAGAAATTCCATCCCAAAAATTGAACACGGAAAAAAAGGATTTGTTGCATAAACAAATTATTTATGCTTGAGTTATTTTTGTTGGACTGAGCAATTTTTGGTTGAATCAACCAGATACATGATTATTCCATGGAAGCAGCTTGTTCAAATCAAGAATGTAGTCTAATTGAATCAACAGTATAATATCAATTCCATCAACAAAATATATGGTTTCTTCAAAAACAAATTATGTCAATCCAAAATAATGTCGATGTTGATTCAACTATAAACATTTCGTTGATTTGATCAAACAATGATCATTCTGATGAGAATATATCTTTAAACAATATACAAGTTGTCTTATTCCGATTTATCAATGAACTCGTTTCGAACGGATCATTTGCTTGAATAGAGCAACGAAATATGTAATATCAATGAAAAATTTTGTTCATTCCACATCAACTTAAATTTTCGCCTCTAGATGGCGATCATTTCGCCTCGTCTATGCCTGCCTCGAGTTCATTATTATACGTGAAGCCTGATTCTTCGTGTTTGAAATATCAGCTGGATAAGTCGAACTTAGGATGATTAGCTAAAGAGAAGT